AGTGTGTGTGTGTGTGTGTGTGTGTGTGTGTGTGTGTGTGTTAAATGCCTGCGTACTGTAAACCTCTAAGTGTGATTGCCTCATAGGCTAAAAATGCTTCATGAGATTTTGGCTGACATGGCGGAGAGTCCACGAGTTGTTCAGTGTGCTCAGGTCGTTCCTGTGCTTCTGCATGTGTACTTCAACACTGTCACTCAGGTGAGAGTCACAAATGAAAGGTCAGGCCATTTAATAGCTCACACCAGCACAAAAAAATTAATGTACACTCACATTTGCCACATTTCACAAGGTCTGAATTGTGTCATCTCTTCCAGTGTTTTTATTGTGTTTTATAGAAAGCTGATGAGAAAATGATGAACCAGCTGTTGCTAGTGCTGCTGGAGAGAAGCAGTCTGCTCTACAACATCAAGACATTTAATGTTGAAGTCCAAAAGTGAGGCACTCTTTATTTAAATATTCTTTATTGACAAAAACTCACTCATTTGTGCAAATGTAATTCATGGGGTTATTATTCAGTAATTCCATTAATCAGATGTACATTTCAGACATCTTTTAACATTCTGCATGTGTAAATGATTTTTACTGTGATTACTTATGATTATAGGGTGTTCAGCACCCACCTGCAGGCCCTGTGCAAACTCCACCCACCACTGATTGTGGATCAGTCCAGGGAGATCCTGGAATTCGCAAGCTCCCCTGCCAACATTTACAGTAAAGAAGACTTCTACACACATGTGGTGAGCAGCGGACGTGAACTGTGATTGTAAGCATCATCATGCTGTAGGGTGACTGTATTGAACGTTTATACGCAGGTGTGGGTCATTGGCGAGTATCTCTCAGTGTCCTATGACCCTCGCTGCACGGTGGAACTGATCACATCTTTTTTTGAGAGTTTGGAGGCGGTGCTGTTTGAGATCACGCAGGTGCGACAGTCAGCCAGTCCTCCGAGCTTCTCCCCCCGCCTCATCACTGTGCTCATGACCACCCTGGCCAAACTGGCCACACGCAGTCAGGATCTAATTCCCAGGTAGACCAACCTTCTCCAACACGATAGCTCCTTCATTACAAATTATATTATATATTGTTTACATAACCCTTGCAGAACATGCAAGATGTTAATGTTTAAGATGTTTAATCATTTACTGTCTTGAATAAGCAGTTTCTCATCACAGTTCAGTACAGCAGGGGAGAGAAACTATCAAAAACATAAAATTGCTTCTTTTTTTTAATTACACAGTGATTGAACGTTACTGAACAAATTGTGGCTCTGTCTTTAAATACATTCAGTTATAAAGGGAGCTCTATTACTTTCACATTACTACGCACTTCCATTCATTTTTAGATATAATAGTCAACACTCAATTATGGTTGCAAACGTACATAGCGTATACGGAGGTTTTATTATTATTATTCAGTGTTGGGGAGTAACTAATTACATGTAACAGAATTACGTAATTTAAAGGGGTCATATGATGTTGCTAAAAAAGAACATTATTTTGTGTATTTGGTGTAATGAAATGTGTTTGTTGTTTAAGGTTCAAAAAACACATTATTTTCCACATACTGTACATTATTGTTTCTCCTCTATGCCCCGCCTTTCTGAAACACATCGATTTTTACAAAGCTCATCGTTCTGAAAAGTGAGGTGTGCTGTGATTGGCCAGCTATCCAGTGCATTGTGATTGGCCGAATACCTCAAGCGTGTGACAGAAATGTTACGCCCCTTACCATACTGTGATGCCATGTCCCGGCCGGAGCGACGAGACATTGTAGTCTACTCTCCCAGGATCAGGAAACAGTCCTCCATAAAATGCGCTGGACACATCTGAATATTTGGGTTGTGGGGGCGTGTTTAAACGAGGCGTTTTAGGAGGGCGTGGACCCGTGTTAACTTTTATAAAGAATATCTCTTTGGGTTTGAGTCTTTAGTCTTTACAACTTTACAGATCTTATCTATTCACAAACAGCTTATAACACTCCAAAGAGAAAGGAAAACTTGAAATCGCATCATATGACCCCTTTAATTACAAAATAAATGTAACTGTAATCTGTTACAGTTACTGAGAAACAAAAAATGTGTAATTGAATTAGTTACTTATGAAAATGTTAAAAATGATAAAGGGGGTTACATCTGAATATTTTCACACACATATAGATTTGATTGATTTCTTTCCCAAATTGCATTGACTGCTCTAAAATATATGATGAATTAGTTACTTATGAAAATGTTAAAAATGATAAAGGGGGTTACATCTGAATATTTTCACACACATATAGATTTGATTGATCTCTTTCCTAAATTGCATTGACTGCTCTAAAATATGAGACACTGATGTTTCAGGAGTGTAGTACACAGAATAGGACACATGCTTAATTAAATAACTGTTTTATTTCCTATTTAGGTTTATTTATATGCTTTATTTTTTAAGATTAACAGTTTTTTTCCGAGGCAGTGTTAGATGACAGTGTTTCCTGTCGTAGCTATACAAAGATTTGATTTCAAAAACAGTATCATAGCTATTAAACTATATCTTATGATTTTAATTCAAGTGATGAAGGATTCTGAAAGTCTGACAGTAATCAGTGGTGAGTGCTACTGTAAGGATTATCCTGCCGGGTTTAAATGTTTCAAAATGATTAACAGTTGAAAACATTCATTAAAAATGTAGAAAAGTAATCAAATGTAGTCGGCTACATTACTTTAATGAAGTAATTGAAATAATTACACTACTTATTACATTTTAAATAAGGTAACTTGTAATCTGTAACCTATTACATTTCCAACACTGTTATTATTGTTTTATTTTTGCCATTTCAATTAAAGTCTACATACGTGGCCAATGTGGTCTCAGACTTATGGACCTTTCTATATTTGTAATGTCCATATTAGCCAGATATTGTAAGCAAACAAAAAAAAACATCAGGACGTATTTTTCCCAATTCAAACTTTTTTTTATTTAATAAATGATTATCAGCCATAACATCTAGTAAATCCTGTATCAACTAATAGTTCTATATCTCCCTCATTCCATTTCGTTCTATTTCTCTCAGAGTGTCGCTTTGCCTGTCTAAGATGCGGACGTTTGCCCGTAGTGCTCCTGTAATGACGTGCTACAGCGAGGAGGACACTGAGGAGATCATCACACGAGCCCATGAACTTATTAACTTGCTCAAGTTACCAAATGTGGCTCAGTTTGTTCTGGCCCCTTCAGCCGGAGGCGACGGCCCCCGCTGGCACCGAGACACCAACGCCTCACTTCCTCAGGGCATGAGAGCAGTCAGCGGGCTCCTCCATAGACATTCCAGCTCTCTGCCCACGTAAGCCTGTTCCAGGAAACTGTTTTCGAAATATCTGTGCAGAATACCAAGTGAGAGTTTCTGAAGGACACAAAGGGTGTCACTGGAGCAAAACACAGGCAAGCACTGCACTTCATCATGATTTTCACTTCTGCTCGTCAGTCACAAACATATCAAAACAAATGGCAAGACACAAGGGGATTATGATTTGTTCCTTGATTTATTGAAATGTTTGTTAGAGACACATTTCTATAAATTAAACATTCTATGTTTATTGTCAGGTTGCATTTATTACTGCCACTTATGATTAGTGTCAAAACTGTTAAAAGACAGTTTAGATTGAGTTGTTGTCCTTCTGATTAAAAGTCTATGAAACTAATGGTACAAAAGAATTCACCATAGAAATTAAATGTGACACAATACAAATGCTGTCATATAAATGCAACATTATGACAAAATGAGTAAAAACCTGTTATACATTCAAAGTCACAGTGCTTAGAAACATACTCTTTCATATCTGAGCTTCCTGGCTAAATTTGTCAATAGCTAAAACAGACGTTTAAGTTGCAAGAATTTCATCAAGGTTTATATTTTCATTAGACCTTGAGAAGTCTTATTGGGTTTTACTAATTCATCAAGGCTAGTTTCCATGTGCATGGCTTGTTCCCAATAACAAATAAAATGGCTCTGTGGGAGCTCCGCTGACTTGAATTGGTGCTCAAGAAACATTATTATGATCAATATTGACAATATTGACAGTTGTGCTGTTTAATCTTTTTGTGAAAACTGATACTACCAGTCGAAAGTTTGGAGTTAGATAAACTATATACATATAAATATATATATATATATATATATATAACAAAAATGGCAACATTTGCTCAAATCAATTTTAATATTGACCCCTATGCTTATTATTAGTTAACTGTACCGAGCCCCGTACATGACATGCGGAAGATATCGTGTCCATGAATTAAGAACTGCTGAAAATTCAGATGTGCCATCACAGGAATAAAATTGTAATAATACTTCATAATAATACAGATTTGACTGCATAAGAGACTTCTTTCGAAAACATAAAGTAATTATTCCAAACATTTGACCGGTAGTGTAAATCATGTCATCCCCTCTAGCTTTCCACCTAAACATTATCACAACCCCATAGAAATGATCCATCATGATCCATTATGCAACAATTAAAAAGTCATTTCTAACATTTTTGTACATATACATTACTACAAGATCACAGTAGTATAGAAATTATACCTGGAAATAATTATTCTGCTCAATGCCAATAAATGTCAATAAATTACTTTCATAAGCACAGTCTGATTATGGGAGTTCATATCAAGGCAGTAGATAGCTCAGTTAAAGGATGTGGAATGTTATTCATGTCTTCTGTATGATACACATTTTGCCTGTAAACACTGACAGGTGAAACAGTACATTATGTCAACAGGTTAAGACTATATCTGCAAAAATAGACTGGCCAGAAGGTGCTGAGTTATCAGGACAGAAATCCTTCTATATAAAAATACATTTTAGACCAACAGTACTAAAACATGCCCGTCTATGATTAATATAGAGGGATGCAAAGGCAGCTCAGGATCAAATACATTGTCTTTTATAGCTCAACAAACCCTGTATGTGTGAACACACTTGAGATCTTCTTCATCTGTCACCTGGATATTTTGATTTGGCCGGTCCCCGTTGCATACAAGTACCTCCAGATGGCGTAATAGTGTATGCCTGCCCCCACTGCCACAAAGACGTGCCAGATGGCATGAGCGAATGGGATGAGGCCATCACTCTTGAAGAAGACAATTCCCAGGCAGTAGAAGACTCCACCCACTGACAGCTCTAATATGCCCTCTCTGTTAGGCTGAAATAATACGTTCTATTTAAACAGGTCGTTCTCCCACAGATGAAATACACAGGGGACACTGTACAAAAAGCGTGCCATTTGTTTCTCTTGTATGCATGTGTAAAAAATAACTTAAACAATGAATAGCTAATGCCAACTTTTGCTATGCCAATACAGACATTATTTTAAAGATTAAAATCCAGTAACATTGTTTAAGTTTTTTCCTTGAATCATGAGGATGCCTTTTTTATTTGTCTCCATCCATTACCATCTTTATTTCATTTTACAAATATGCACATATTCTGATCCAAATGTATGATGGATATGATAAATAGATAGGTATGTATATGTATGTGTGTGTGTGTGTGTGTGTGTGTGTGTATGTATATATATATATATAACGGGTATATAACAGGGTTGACAGTACATTATTTTTTGTTACAAGCCTTGTGCTTCTACAAGGTGCTTCTTACACAATACTTTTCAATAATCATTTGTTTAATACTGTATATATAATCATGGTAACAGGGTTGACATTTTAATATCCCCCATTATTCCTACTGTTACGTACATATATCCCCATACATGTTACAGTGTTGGGGAAAGTTACTTTTAAAAGTAATGCATTACAATATTGCGTTACTCCCTAAAAAAGTAACTAATTACTCCGATATTTTCTTGTAAATTAAAAAAGTAATGCGTTACTTTACTAGTTACTTGAAAAAAGTAATCTGATTACTTAACTCGCATTACTTGTAATGAGTTACCCCCAACACTGCATGTATATAATAACCATTTTCCCCTTTTAAAGTAACTATTCCATTAACCACAAAACTATTATTACTTAATTATGCTTTCAAGAAGTAAACTCTTCATGGTCCAGCAAATGTCTCATCTTTTTATCACTTCATCATGTTTTATGTTTGTCAGTAGGGGATGATATTGGAAATGTCAACCCTGTTACCATGATTTCATTTACAGTAGTAAACAAGGGATAATTAAAAATAATTAAATTCTCTTTCTAAGAAGCACCCTGTAGAAGCACAAGGCTTGTTCAGAAATAACGTAATGTCAACTGTTACTTTTCTGAGGGCATAAATATATCCCAACCTATATATTAAAATGCATTCATTTAGCTTAAGATGACACGGTCATGTAATTCGTTAATGTTTTAACACGCTGTTGGTCTGATAGGATGTTTTAAATCTCCCTAAAATTCATTGGGAAAGGCACCTGATTGATTGAATGACTCGATAACTCAATGACTTGGTCTCACGAAGACATTAATGAAATTGCAAAGTATACTTCATGTTAACAACACTAACGGAAATTTTGTAAAATATAAATAAGCTGCTTAAGGCATCTCAAAAGCCTTCATTACTGTATTTATGAACACATGTATAGGTGTCAGTCACACATACCACTGACAGAAGAACAACTGCAGGAACAGCTCCCATGGCAGTGTAGCACAGTAAGTCTAGTATCTTGTTCCTGAAACATAACACAGCCATTTTAAACATATTCTGATGCTGGCTTGGTAATATTCACTTGCATTATTTGATGCATTCATAATGCAATTGCTTGGCAAAATAACAAGGACAGACAGCATTTTTACACAATTTTGGACATTAACAACCACATCAGCATCTGCGAGTGATTATTATCCTCTACGATGTCCTCAACAAAGTGGGCACCTACTTCTCATGAAAGAAGAAGACATAGGCAGAGCCAGCGCAAGCCATGATCCACACCAACCAGCGCATGTGCACAGCCCAGGGTCCTAGTTCCCTCAGGTTCAGCCTGCACACAACAAACACAGAGACACCTGTGTCAGTAACACACTCAACCCTGTGAAGCTGTAAAACGCTGATGGTGCTGTTACTAGAGGACACACACATCACATGCTCACCAGGGTGCATAAGATGCAGCTATAAAGAAATATATCACCATCCTGTCGCACATGTGGAATCGCTGCTCCACCTTCCTGTTACAGCAAGAGAATGTTTCAAAATAAAAATCAGTCTCTTTTTCCTATTGTCTACTGTTTGTGCTCAAACCTTTGTACTGTCTAGTATCTTTCTGAGCTACACTACTGTTTAAAAGTTTGAGGTTCTTTGTATTTGAAAGAAGTCTCATGCTCACCAGGCTGCATTTATCTAATCAAAAATACAGTATAAACAGTAATTCTGAGTAGACTTTAGTTTGAAATAACTGTTATTTTTGTAATATAAAAATGTAATTTATTCCTGTGATGATCCTTCAGAAATCATTGTAATATGCTATTGGTAATATATTCAGGTGACAAGCATGTCGCAACCCTTTTATACAGATTTGAGGCGTGTTTTTGCTTAATGAAACTCTTTTTGTTCTGTTCCCATATGTGTAATTTGGAATGGGCAGGGTCATGACTGATGAAACGGACATCTGTGAGCATGAACTGACAGGCCCATGTGATACCATCTGTCAATATGAATTCATGTGTAACTGCTTAGGTGTCCTGCTCTGATGAAGATCCAAAGTTCATTCATAATGTTTCCACTAAATCTGCATTTGCAGCTGACACTTCCTCCTAGCACAGAATATGCAAAAATGTAGCATGAAACCGCCTCTTTAACCTCTTTATCTGGGAAGAGTCATCAAAAGCTATGACATTAAATAATCAGACATCTCTATGCCTGCAGATGACATATGACTACTCTTTGTTTTCTGTAAATTCAGGGCTTGACAGTCAACATGTCGGGTGGAAATACTTCATTTCAGAAGGCGTCTGTCAGAAAAAATGCAAAGCAATTGCATAAATGCAATATTCTTCTTTTTGCAGCTGAAATATTTTTAAATATTATGGAAGACAGGAAACATGCCCAATTAACTGAGTTAATCTGTTTGTTTCACATCTTGAAGCACTTTATAATGAGTGTGTGCTTAGTCATTCTTGAATCCCCTAAGGCAGAAACGTGTTAAACATACTGCATACGCTCTTTTTAAATGGCATCCACTTTAGTTGACAGAAAACGCTTTTTTTTGTTCAATATCAAGATTTTAGGTTACAATGTATATGAATGTATGGGAAGGTGTAAATCTTAGGCGCTGCTGAGGATCTTTCCTTTTTGTTTTAAAATAAAATAGAACTTTATTTAAAGAAAACGTAACTTTTTTTTAATTCTCACCTGAGATGGCTTTTCTTCCAGGACACCGTATGGAACATGGTGGACATGATGAACATAAAGCAGTGTTGGAGTCAAGACCAGCTCATTTGGGTTTGAGTCAAGAATGACACCAGAAGAGGGTTGAGTTCAAATCAGAAACAAGTCCACATGCTCCTGAGTCTATCACATGACCAGGAAGTGAAAATGTGGTCTTAGATTCAATATTTTAGAAATCAATATTTTCATGGTCTTGGTCTTGTTGTGGACTCACAAGGAGCATGTGGACTAAGACCAAGATCATGACAATATGGTCTTGGACTCAGCCCTGAGCACCAAGACCATAAAATATTGTCGTAGATTCAAAGACCAAGACTGTGAAAATAAGGTCTTGGACTCAAGGGCAAGTCAAAACCAATTCTTCATGTTCTTGGTCTTGTTGTAGACTCTGGAGCATGTGGACTAAGACAATGAGCAAGACTATGAAAATATAGTCTTAGACTCGGACTTGGATATTGGACAATGGACAGGACCCTATTTTCATGGTTTTGGTTTTGCCGTGGACTCGGGAGCATGTGGACTAAGACCAAAACCAAGACCATGAAAATGTGAGCCTTTAAAATATGGTCTTGCACTCAATTTATGATCAATAAGTCAATATGTTTAGGGTCTTAGTCTTGTTGTGGACTCAGTAACATGTAGTCTAATACCAAGACTGTGAAAATATGGTCTTCAGCTCAAACTCGAGGACCAAGACCAAGGCCATATTTTCATGTTAAGTCTTAACTCGGACTCAACCCTCAGCTGGCCTCGACTGCAACACTATGATATAGTACTTAAATACAAAATGAACTAAAATGTGACCCTGGAGCACAAAACCAGTCTTAAGTCGCTGGGGTATATTTGTAGCAACAGACAAAAATACATTGTATGGGTCAAAATTATTGATTTTTTTTTATGCCAAAAATCATTAGGACATTAAGTAAAGATCATGTTCCATGAAGATATTTTGTAAATTTTCTACCGTAAATATATCAAAACTTAATTTTTGATTAGCAATATGCATAGCTAAGAACTTCGTTTGGACAACTTTAAAGGCAATTTTCTCAATATTTAGATTTTTTTGCACCCTCAGATTCCAGATTTTCAAAGTTGTATCTCAGCCAAATATTGTCCTATCCTAACAAACAATACATCAATGGAAAGCACACTTATTCAGCTTTCAGATGAAGTATAAATCGCAATTTCGAAACATTTAACCTTAAGACTGGTTTTGTGGTCCAGGGTGACAAATGGCCAGCCCTGGTCCTACATTATGTATGTACAGTTTGCTATTTGGATTACTGTAATTACATTGGAAAAATGACAAATTCTAATATTTGTAGCCTGACCGACCCTCCTTCCATCTGTCATTATTTGTGTCTGATCAAATCTTCTTAACATATCCCACAAGCCCTACTGATTTTCTGCAGAAGCCTATTTATTTATTTTTTTTAAATGTAATAACCAAAACCAGCAATTCTAGGCATTTACAGCATTTTGACATAAGCATATTATCAAAAAATAATTTTCAAGACTTTAATTTGTAGACATCAGAAAAGTAGATGCACAGTATTCTTGAGCATTTACTCCACAGCCAAACGACAATGCACTGGTGCAAAGAGGATTTGGTGTGTGTGGTCAATGTCTCATGCTGAAGCTCGTGAACTGGCCGTGCCAGATGTGCGGCTCTGAGAGGCGGGGATTAGAGAGCAGGATGTTATTCAAACAACATCACGAAGCAAGGCCATATCCAACATGCTCAGAAAAAAACACACAAACATGAACTAAGATCAGAAGCAAGGGTAAAAAAAAAAAAACTACAGTATGAAAAAGACTTGATGACTGTGACCTAATGGTATTCTTGAATGATTTTGTCCCTGTATATCCATGAAATATTTTTGTTTGTTGAGCAGTATTACATCACACAATCTCTGTGTTCTTTTTGTGATTTTGTTGATCCTTCTGTGTCACAGGACAATGGCATCAAAGCCTCCCCTCTTGACAACACCCTCTCCTTCGCAAAACCAGAGGTCTGTATGCTAAATGTTGAGCAACGCGTCTAGTTTGTGATCTCATGAAGCACTTTATTTTCAGTGAGGTTTCTCCAACATTGTTTTGACCTGCTCTGAGCTCAGTGTGAGATGAGAAGTAGATTTTTCTACTTACTCCATGAGTGGCACAGTTGGCTGCATGCTCATACTCAGTTGGCTGGTATCTCTTGCTAGATGGGACTCGGTTGTTCATAAACCTAAAAAAAATATATATTTTGGTGAATTTTAAATACTTAAATTTTGACTGAAGTTAGAGCCTCGGCCAAATCTTTTCCCTTCATTTAATATACATTAATTTGAAGCAATGTATATGGACTGTCATCCTATTAAAATTTTATGAACTTTTTAAAGGTATATAGACTGGATTTATACATCCAGACAGAGTTCTATGAAAAAAAATCTATGCTCATGTACATTAACATTCAAAAGTTTGGGGTTGGTAATATTTTTTGATGTTTTTGAAAGACGTCTCTTTTATGCACACTGCATTTATTTAAAAATACAGTAAAATCAGTAATATTATGAAGTATTATTACAATTTGTGACCCTGGAGCACAAAACCAGTCTTAAATCGCTGGGGTATATTTGTAGCAATAGCCAAAAATACATTGTATGGGACAAAATTATCTATTTTTCTCAGATTCCAGATTTTCAAATAGTTGTATCTCGGCCAAATATTGTCCTGTCCTAACAAACCATACACCAAAGAATCAGCTTTCAGATTATGTATAAATCTCAATTTCGAAAAATTGACCCTTATGACTGGTTTTGTGGTCCAGGGTCACATTTAACATAACTGTTTTCTATTTGAATGTATTTTAAAATGTAATTTATTCCTGTGATGCAAAGCTGAATTATCAGCATCATTACTCCAGTCTTCAGTGTCACGTAATTCTTCAGAAATCATTCTGATATGATGATTTGCTGCTCAAGAAACATTTCTTATAATAATCAATATTAAAAACAGTTGTGCTGCTTAGTATTTTTTGTGAAAACAGTGATATATTTTTTCAAGATTCTTTGATGAAGAGAAAGTTCAAAAGAACAGCATTTATCTTACATAGAAATCTTTTATAACATTACAAATGTCTTTACTGTCACTTTAATGTGCCAATTTAATGCGTCTTTGGTGAATAGAAATATCATTTACCTTTAAAAATACTTAAAACCTTACTGACCCCAAACTTCATTTCTCACACATCTCATTTGACGGCACAGAAACAGTAGGACAGTGTTACAGGTTAAAGTCCTTTTCATTTCAGAGGTTAATTCAGACTATATGAAACACATTAAGAATCAAGAGCACATAATGTTCAGGTTCAAGAGCATTAGGTAACCCTCTTTGAGGCTCCTCGAGGATTTAATATGCATTCAGATCACATTTTTAGAATTTTCTTGGATTGCACGGTTGCCTAGCATCTGTAGCGATGAAGCTAATCCTGTTCGAAATGAGGACTTTTATGCCACTTACATTGAGCAGCTGATGTATTGAGCGATGATGTCATAGTCTCCATGCCGACCTGAGGCTTGGGATTTCCTTTTTTATTTCCCCCCAAACACTCTTTATCTGTGTGATTTAATTAATGTGCATGAGGACACAGGGAAGTGGGCTAGACTGCTAACCAGAATAAATGAGCGAGCTCTGGAAACCATCTTACTTTGCTTCTCCATTATATATCTTGATTATAGCGTATTTCTAGCAGTAAACAGATTAATTGTGTTCATTTGTCATCATCTTGTCAAAGATAAATCTGCCACTGAAACATACAGGCTGACTTAAAGGACTGCCATGTCTTTTTTGTTATGAAACGCTTTCATAACATTTTTATTTTTTTTAATGTAAATATTTGCTGTAGGGTGTTTTTTTATTAAGCAATTCGTATTCTTTAAAAAAAAAGAAGTGTGATCCAGGTGTGATAGGAACTGCATTCACAGTCACACATTCAGTTATTATGCCCGAATGCACCAGAGCTGCTAGTTCATGCAGAATGTGCCTTTAAGCAACATAGTTATTGGGTATATTTAGTGTCACTTGTCATATCACAATATTTTTGACTATATTCAGGGAAATATTTACTCAGAGCACTACAGGGCATCATGTTCATTATTATGGATTAGTTCAGTAAATGAATGTTTGGCAACTGGTGTGTCTCTGCTTGGCCTTTATAAAAGGAATTGCTTTTATATGATGCCATCTGGGGCTAAACTGGGAAAATCAATGTAAGTTTGACTATTAGATATAGGGAACACTTCTAAATAGAAAAAAATACTTCATGCTCCATATAATCAATACATACCAATCAATCAAGTTCATTTCAATGATTCACAGACAACGCAGAAATTCTAAGATTCCTAACTGGAAATAAAAAGAAAGAAACAAAAACAAAGACATGTTTAGGTGTGAAATTAATAAGCAGTATTTCAAATTCTCAGACTTTTGTGATCCAACACATCTGTGCTGATGTGCCTGTGTGAGAATATGATAATGCCACACTTGTGAGGATAAGGGACTGTGAGACTCGTCAGTGGCCCTTCGCTAGAGAAAACATTCAGAGATTTGGATGCTTACACTTCACAGAGCCTCTACTACAGCAACATGATACACAGTGCTGGTCTTGGGTTTCAGCCAAAAATGATTCAGCTAAGATGTCTACTCATGCATAATGTGGCCCTACATACTAGTCATGGCATCAAACATTGCATTCCAACATTTTAAGGCCAAACTCAAGTTCTTCTTTTTCCAAACCACACAGTAAGTGCATTTTGCTGCATAATGCTCTTTCATATCGCAATATCAAATAGCTGAAAACCAATGTTTAAAAAAAATAGATGTTTACACATTTACATGCAAGTAATCAAATGGAAGTCATGATAAAGTTGCTTAGGCTATGCCATCTTTTGGTAAAACCTTGTTCATTATCCTTTCATATGCTCCAGCTTCATGAAGGCCGGTTCTTCTGAGCACAGACAATTAACTAAGTGATTTATTGGTGAGTGTGCTAACCGCATATGACAGAGGCCCTAATATCCCGTCCAAAAACCAAATATGCACTCAGATGACCACAATGCAAGTCTCTTATAACAAGGAGGATCCAAACCAAAGAGTCACAATGGACAAAAATACACTCATTGTACTATCCTTTATGAGAGGAGACTGAAGGGCACCCTGTGTCTGACCTTTCTGGGAAGATTCTGGAGATCAAATGAAAGTTATCAGGTGCTGACAGGCTGAGTTTATGACTCACCTGAGAGTTATCCAGGGTTAAGAGGAAACACTGCATCTAGGTACGATAACACAGTTTGACTAAATTCATCAGTTTAATGCCAGTTTAGCCAATGTAGCCAATAGTTCACCCAAAAATGAAAAGAAATGTATCTTTTAACTTTTAAACTATAAATCATTGCTTTAATCTATATAAAATTAAACATTTAAAAAAAACGATACCATGTTCCATAATAATGCTTCCTCCAGTGAAAAAGCCCACATCATGTTGTCCTCTCACATCAAAATCCACCAACATATTTGTTTAGAACAGTTTTGGACTGTTTTCTTTTGTAAACGGTGATTGATCTGTGCATATTTCTCTCCTGATTTTTCACCTTTTCAGAGGAGTATTTTAGTAGCAAGCTACAGTATAAAGTTAAAACTTCTTTATGGATTTGTTTTTTACAAACATGCAGATTTTCACAAGATGTGAAGTGGTGGACTGGATTTGTGTGGATTATTGTGATGTTTTTATCAACTGTTTGGCCTCATTCTGACGGCACCCATTCACTGCAGAGGATCCATTGGTGAGCAAATTATGTAATTCCAATGTAAATTTCTCCAAATCTGTTCCAATGAAGAAACAAGCTCACTTACATCTTGGATGGCCTCATGTGAGTAATTTCTCAGCAAATGTAACTACGTTTCATTATGCAAAGCAAGTCTTTAAGTTGTGGGAGCATAAATAAAATAAAATGGTTAGTTATTGTGTGTTTTATGCATTTATTAAGCATTGAGATGCTCTATAAAATGCTCACATTAATTAAAAGAGGGAACAAAAACAGCATTTGCACGTAATCCCACCTACTCAACATCCTCTGGGGCAAAGATCTCAAAAGGCAAACACAAAGCCTGCTTATGTTTGCCAGGTATGTGACCTGACATTGACAAAATTATAAAAATCACGCTTTTTATGGGAATGATGAGAGTTTAATTCTAAGAAGTTCAGTAATTTCACCAAGACAATATGATTAAAGTGAATAATCATTTTCTTTTGGGAATAAATTTATATGATCAGTTTACATTATTGTAAAATAAATATGCATCTATAGGCATTATAATACATGTATACACTATCTAAAATTAAAGAGATGTTTTAGCACTACACAAGCAATATGCTTAATGTCAGACTTGTTGTTTAAAACAAATATTACAATCCATTTCTATTCATTGTGCATGTGTGTCTGCGTGATGGTCTGCAGGAAATCCTCACCAAAAGCAAGTTGAAGCAGTGCAGAAATCAAATGAAAGTAGAAGTTGACAGAACCTCAAGATTTTTTCCCCCACGAATTAACACAATGGCTTCTTCAAACATGTTTGAACTAATGCTTGTCTACCTCCGGCTCGCGCTGTTTTATTTTGTTTAATAGTATTGTATTCTTATTAACAACCCTCTTAGGCCTACTCCTTACAAAAATGCTTTTCTGTTTTCAAAAAAAAAAAAGTGTAAAGGTCAACCACTTTTATAATATAAAGAAAACAATGCTATAAACGTTATATTTAGATAATTTACCTGCCGAGCTTCGTCCTCCTAAAATCCATACTGTACATATTTGTACATGTTCGCTGCGGAACTTGCTCCTGGGTAGACAGATTGACTACTCCTAGTAAAAGCGACGAGCAAACTCCGGATGTTTCAGTAGTGTGTCCAAAACTTGGAAGGAAGCAGCACTGCCTCAACAAGCACGTGAAGACTTGCGCTGCTCGGTACGCGGCGCACATGAGCAGAACTGCGAGAGAGTGACAGCGGGTTTTTGTAATAATCATAAAGCGACTGGCTCGCGACCCCTCTCTCTCTGTCAGGAATGCAGCTGCGCTCAATCCCCTCTCCGCCCCTTTGCTTTCTTCCAAGTGAACTTGGAAAAGGCTCGCGGCGAACGAACTGCATCATGTCTGTTTATTGCGCGTCATGTAGCGGATATTTGCTTTAGAAATGTTTGTTTAGAAAGACGTAAACAAACTAACCTCTCTGAGATCTGTTACATGCACGCTATTTTGTGTAGCCCTCATTTTCTTCCTACAAAAAAACAAAAACAAAACCCAGGTATGTAGCCCCATATGAAGAGTTGCAAAATCCTCAAAAGTGCCGTTTGAAATTTTCTTCTAAAATGAGCATTTTTTTTAATCAGGCTCCTATGTTTATGTTGAGTTATTTCACTCAAGTGAAATTACTGAACCTATACATAAGAGCCTGAGAAAAATACTCATTTTAGAAGAAAATTTCAAACGGCACTTTGAGGATTTTGCATCTGAACTCTTCATATATAGCCTACACATCTGAAGATGTTAAAATATATCCTTTTTAACAAAAATTTATTTATTTATTTTTTTTTGCTCTCTTATAAAACTGTTCATTATTTATATGACTGAAAGCCACAATTACAATGGTCAGGTATCACATCTAAACATTTCTGTCCTGGTCACAGCACATTTTCTATGTGACCCAAAGGGGTTTGTACTGACAGTGAACTAGTTAACGCTAGAATTGTGACTTCTCATAGACAAAGCTCACGAAACCCTCTGCTGGTTAAATAAGTTTACAACATTTCAATCTGCGTGACTGCGTCTCATCCATCGTGATTGCAGAGATGGCTTGCATACTTTATCTGGTATAGTGGTTCTCAACCAGGGGGCCTCAAAAAGACTTAAAATATTTTTAATTAAGGGAAAACAAGCTTTAAAATAAGCTAAAACAACTAAAAATCATGCTATTTATTGATTAGTACGTTTCTGAAATGGAACAGTTTTGAACCTTTAGACAAAATATGAAAAAATAAATAAAAAAGAAATGATTGCATATCTTACATAGATATTTACGTTGTTTTTTCATATTTGATATCAGGCTTTTATGGCCTACATTGTTATCATGAAAATACAGAGGTCATACCTGAGGAGGAAAAACATTAATTTTATTTAGAGGTCCAAACTGAGCAAAAATATGCAATTTGGTGCAGATGTTGTCATTTATATGGCCAAAAGTAAGGTTAAATTGTAATAGCTTATAATAATGTAAATCAATTAAATTGTATAGGCCTAAAGGTAGCATTAAGCAGACTACTTATGTAAAATGCATATACATTTCAATTGTCACACAAAAAATGTCTCAGTAAGATTTAAATGCTTAGTTTTATTATCAAAACTCTGTGGTTTTTATTACGGGGACAAAATTGTGCAATACTATGACTGAGAGATACCGATTTCCTCAAAAGTTATCATATTTGATACTGACATTTTAACATGTTTTTTTTTTTTTTTTAATGATGTGTGGATAATCAAGTAGACTAAATCTAAGTTGCATCAGACCAGTAATGAATTAATAAGTAATATTAATAAAAATCTATAGAAATATTCTTACATTTAGGCTACTTTGTTAAAGATTTCACAGCAACGCATACTAAAAGGCCTTTTTTTATTTATTTTTTTATTATTATTTTTTTAAGTGAACTATCAATCAGAGGGCAGAATATAAGTAGAAAACTGTGCACAAGAGGTTTTTCAGCAAAGTTTTATTCATGTGGACGGCGTTGTAGTAGACAGCCTTAGAGTCAAAAATGTTGAGAACCTCTATAAAGGCTAGTCTCTTATATATTCTCAATGAAGAGGCCTCACTGGGAAGCCTCTAAAATTAATTGTGATTTATTGTGTAAACGTTTTGCAAATCATTTGAAAGCATTTCCACTTTAGTGAGAAATAGAGCACCTTTCCCTTTAATTAGAATGCGTGCAGCAGCCAGTGCGCATGCGCACGAAAAGGTGCAACAGTGGCTAGAGAAAAACAACAACATTCATTGGAACGAGGGTGGAATTTATGGCAGTGCGAGACGACACCAGATTTCACTGATCTAACCCACATCTGAGCCCTTTTCACTTCGGCTTAATCTGTAAATGGTGTCGAGCCCATGAACCTGGCCAGTCAGAGCGGAGAGGCCGGCTGCAGCCAGCTGCTCTTCGCCAACTTTAATCAGGATAACACGTAAGAAAAGAACCACGCTACTGCTGGCCTAACAGCCCATCTACACGACAACAGCACAATGCTGTCAGTATACTCAGCGAATAATTTGCACTGCAGTCGTGCGAAGCATCGTTCGTTATAATGGGAGCGCTTTCGTTGTGTCGTGTCTCATTTCTCGAGTGCTAGTGATACGATGATAAAGCGTGTTAACCAGCTAAAACAGTCACTGTTGTTTGCTTTCTGGCTTTTAGTTTGCTCTCTCTTAAGACAATTGCCCACGATGTGTTAATGCAGCTTTGTTTTAATAAATCAGCACCCAGTTTTTTTCCTGTAAAGTAACGTTAACGCCAGACAAATTGACTCACGAGACTTGTAGCACTAGCGCCCATGCTAACGAGAAAATTACATAGGCTATTTGCTCTTCTGCGAAGCTTCATGTCGGCCTAATTGTGTGAAATCTTAAATACGGGATGTAAATTAACATTTGATTGTATATAAAATGTATCTGTGTGTTTAACGAAGTAATTCTGAAAGACAGCAATAGTAGCTTAAACTGTTAGCAACGCCAGAGTAACCTATGACTTAAAACTGAGCTCTCATTTTGTGTTTTTTGGCTGTCTGATTTAAAGTTAGCTGCCTGAAAGATATACAATTTGATACAAAAAAAAAAAAACGTTTGTTTGTCTTTCCGAATCTAGTAACCAACGAACCAGCTGTCAAGTTAGCCAAAGCTTATTATTTAGACTCCACTGGTGTTTGTGCCAGTGTAACCGCTGGCTCACCTCACTGACAATACCGCCAGTGTTTTTATAACTAATAACAGCTGCTACATTTCACCACTATAGAAAGTAAACTACTTTAAAATAGTTTACGGTCTCGTGACTTTTGTATATTGAAGTTCAGGAATGTCACATTACACCACGAGGATTGCCAAATAGCCCTTTAACACATTTCACCATCAGGTCAACAACCTGTTTTAGTCATTAAGCAAACCGGTAGACCATAAAGAGTTGTGCTTTAATCACTTACTGTAGCGTTTCATTATTGTTACCTCTTTGCTTTCCAGATCCCTAGCTGTTGGTACCAAGTCCGGGTACAAGTTTTTCTCCTTGTCATCAGTGGACAAATTGGAACAAATCTATGAATGTAGTAAGTACTTTTTGTAGTAATTTAATGTCAGCCTTTCATAAGCTTGTGTAGTTATGCAAATCATATCTAGTATGGCTGCTTTTACCTCTGGCATGATACCAGTTGATCGAAGGGGCTGATAATGTTTTTATGCTCTCTCTGGAGGTCAGAGATAATCAGGGGTGTACAAACAGTTTGAAAAATGTGAGAGACCTTGAAAATTATTAAAACTAATAGTTCCGTTCTGTTCCTGGATGCTGATTGGTAACATTCCAATGGAACATTCCAGCTGTGCTAAAATAGTATCTATAGAGGCCAGCTAGTAAGCTTAATTTAGATGTCAGTAAACAATTATATCTTATAGTGTAAGGATGGCTCTACAATTTACTTAATAAAATAACATTTTAAATAAAAATGTATCCTTATTATATTTCCATTAGGGCTGCACGATAAATCGCATGCGATATTTAATGCGCATCTTATCAGTAAAGCCGGTTCTGTAATCAGCGGTAAATCTCCATCACCCGCGTGCTTTCACATTGAGCAATAGTCTAACTCTAATATAAATTAAAATTCTAAAAAAATATATATTTTAAATTCATATTGAATGATTTGTTATTGAAGCACATACAGTTCTTGAATATTATTTCATCACAAAGTGAATTGTGGTTAATTAAATTAAATAAATCAAATCAATACTCCCAGTTTCTGTAAATAAAAATAGTTGAAAAAATAAAAAACAAGCAGCTTAATTAAACTATATTGGCTTCTATTATCGGGGAAGACTTTGAATAATAAATGGGGAGCCGTTGAGTTAAAAAGGCTGAGAACCACTACTGTAGTCCATTATAAATGTTTGCATGAGTGTAGTACATAAGACATGTTTTATATTCTCATGTATTTGTGCTCAGCTGACACAGAAGATGTGTGCATCGTGGAGAGATTGTTCTCCAGCAGCCTTGTCGCTATTGTCAGCCTTAAGGCACCTAGGAAGCTGAAAGTCTGTCACTTCAAGAAAGGGACTGAGATATGCAACTACAGCTACTCAAACACTATACTGGCTGTAAAACTAAACAGACAGGTGAGTCAGCAAGCATCCATTTCCTGCGACGCATGTTTACAATATTGTGTTTTATTACAAGTGATGAGACCGTATGAGAATGTTGCAATCTTGCTTTATTTCCACAGAGATTGATAGTGTGTTTAGAGGAGTCACTCTATATCCACAACATTAGGGATATGAAAGTACTACATATCATTCGAGAGACCCCTCCGAATCCTTCCGGTAGGTACCACTGCATGCCATCAGTGCATCATTGTTAGTGTGATGTTTTTTTTCAAAACTTTAATGGTGAAGTACATGTAGCAGCTTCTTCTTTCAGAAAGATCTAGTGCTCTCCATTATTGTAATAATGGTTTTATAATGGGAGTCAGCACTCAAGTACATGCTGTAAGGCACAGCTGAAGGGCTTGCATGCACACTTTGTTCCTCTCAACGTTCCTAATCTTTGACTAAGTTCAGAATAAAGCCTGTTTTCCTGTCTGTTATTGTTTAATCTTCAAATAGTAAGGAGGCCGGATGTAGACATTTCAAAATAACCAGGGATTTGTTATTTTTGCTATGTCCCTGTAGACCACTGGTTCTCAAACGAGAGCCTCAGCAAACCTCCAAGGAGGATACACGGTGGCTTACAAGTACCTAAATTTTAAGGCACCTAGGAAGCTGAAAGTCTGTCACTTCAAGAAAGGGACTGAGATATGCAACTAC